CTGCACATATGGAGATCATGTAAATGTTTGGACCTACATTGAAGTATATATATAAATTGAACGGCAACAGTAGCTCTCTATTTATAGTATAGGAAAAATGTCGAAAAAATAAATCTAAATATGAAATGATTTTCAATAACTTCAGTGTCAAATAAATGACTTGAAATTGTCGGGAAGTTTGTTTTATCTTCTCAGAAAATTAGAAAACTTTTTGGTTTATTCACATTGGACCTTCATCATATGGAAACTGGGCAGGAATTTTCTATCTGCGATGTTGCATTAAAATTCAAAAGTCGAACGGGCCGACTACATTGTACTCTTCACCATTTGGATACATACAGAGATGATCATTGAAGTGGAATCGAACGAAATATGTCATCTATATACATATATTTAAATAAATCCATAAGCATGTAACTTTGAAATCTATGCAAAACTGCATGCCAATCGTGCCGACTGGGTGTTTATGGTGTACCAATTGTATGCAATCGAGCAAAAATATGAAGTATTCTTGTGTCGTTCATGAACGACCTAGTTCAATTGAACGAGTCAGCCCACTGAACGTGTGAACGGCATTGTTCAATTTTAATTATTGCAATTCCCTGAACGATTTTGTTTACCAAATGCCGTCGGTCACTGAACGACTTTGCTTAATGAACGCCGTCGGTCACTGAAAGTCGTTGCTCACTGAACGGCTTTGCTCAATAAACGTCGTCAGTCACTGAACAACATTAAATTTAACTCTTCAACTTCAGTGTCTTCACGTGTGCACTGACTTTGACTAACAGAACGGCGTCAAACAAAAACAATTTCATATAAAATCTGTTAAATTGAAAGAATAATGGGCACTCGGTAAATAAGTCCATTGAGGTCTCATTTTATGAAATGCGGTGCTCAAAAAGCCAAATGCATATACTGGAGTAGCTTGAGGGTCAGTAAATAGGTGGAGGTTCAATATATAATTTTAAGCAATTACCTAGTTCGTTCGATCGCTGAACTGAACGAGATTGTCCAAGACTAATTTGAAACAAATTTATAGCAAATCGCACCGTCAACAATTTTATCTGAATCCAACAAATGTAGCATATATGTTGCACCATGTAGGCGAAATCGGACTAAATTATGTATGAAAAAATATATGTTAATCCCAAATTTCACCACAATCGGACAAACCTTGGGAGTTTGGTACAGCATTTACATAAAATCGGACAAAAATATGTATTGTTGCTTCATCTACATCTAATCCGATTTCATTGAGACTTCACATACTTTGTATACCCTACATCAAAGTATGGAGTGTTTATTAATTCTGATTTTCCGTTTGTACTCATCGGAATAATCATTTATGGCCCCATAGTGTATATATAGCATTTCCACATTAAATGAAACCTTTTACAAATTAAATGAACCCTTTTCCAAATTAAATGAAACCTTTTCCAAATTAAATGAAACCTTTTCCAAATTAAATGAAACCTTTTCCAAATTAAATGAAACCTTTTCCAAATTAAATGAAACCTTTTCCAATTGAAATGAAACCTTTTACAAATAGAATGAAACCTTTTCCAATTGAAATGAAACCTTTTACAAATAGAATGAAACTTTTTCCAAATTAAATAAAACCTTTATTCTTATCTAAGGAAATATAATATTTGCAGTAATTTTAAACCAATATTTGAAAATTAAATCAAAGAATATTAACAAATATAGTTGTATGGCTATGTAATTAACATAAATATTCTTTAATTCGGTGTGATTTCATTTAATATCTTTACTACATAAAACTAAATAAATAGTAATACAAACTGGGGTATTTCTTAAAATTTTAATAAATAAATATTTAAGAACAAGAATTAAATACCCGGTCCTAAATGGGAAATACATATTTGACTTAATAAATTGTTGGTGATAAGGTAACTGCTTATCTTAATGTCCATGTCCATAACGTAGTTAGAACAATCTTCCCGAGTAAGCTTTTGAATACTTCGCTCGATTACATCAACAATGTTATGTTCCATTGAAACGTCACACAGCTCAGATCTTGCACATAATTTTATTTTTGAAAATGCATTTTCAATTGGATTTAGCATTGGAGACTAAAGCTGTAAGAATTTAAGGTTGCATCTTTTGGATTCGATCAATTTTTTTATGTCATGTCGCTTGTGTATTTGAGCGTTATTTTCCAACTCTGGATTGATTTTCTCAAAAAAAATGTCTATAAATAATTTAAATCTGTCTGCATTGACACTGGAATTAGAAACGATTGTGTGATGTACAACTCCCGCGTTGTTTATTGCTGCAATTATAGTGACATTACGACCTCTGACCGTAGGCAACACAATGTGTGCTCTTGTTCCTTGTCTTGAACGGGCTTGGGTTCTTCGTATGTGAAGATTAAATCTACACTCATCAATGAATATTAATTTTTCTCGTTCTATTTCAATAGAGGCCATCTTAAACGTAATTTTTAATTTCCGTAATCCATATTCTATGCAGCTTGTGGAAATATGTATATCATTTTCTCTTAACAATTTAGTTTTTATGGCTTTGAGGGTAATTCCAGGTTGACTTTCTACATAGAACTCGATCAGACTTAAAATTTGTGGTGTCAACAACTTAGTTCTATTTCCTCCACGCTTATTTTCCTTCAATGTTCCAAAATGTTGTTTGTAAATACTTCACATTGCCGAGAGTTTACTGTTTTGGATGTTCACATTATCGAGAGTTCACTGTATTTAAAAATAGCAACGTTTAAAATAAATGCGAACCTGATTTTAGCTCGGAAAGCTCTGATAATTGGGAACTTGATTAAGAATCAATATCCTCGCCAAGTATTGCAAGTGGAAATGCTCCAGAACCTACCGAAGCTACATCTACAAGACCCCGAAACAAATTGGGTCAGTATAACAAAATAACAAAAGACATGAAATTGTTATTATTTAAATTCTATGAAGAGGGGAGAACCATTTCCGAGGCTGCAAATTTCACCTGCATAAAAATAAATTCCGAAAAAACATTTATAAGAAGATACAAACAAAATTTTGGAACATTGAAGGAAGATAAGCGTGGAGGAAATAGAATTAAGTTGTTGACACCACAAATTTTAAGTCTGATCGAGTTCTATGTAGAAAGTCAACCTGGAATTACCCTCAAAGCCATAAAAACTAAATTGTTGAGAGAAAATGATATAAATATTTCCACAAGCTGCATAGAATATGGATTACGGAAATTAAAAATTACGTTTAAGATGGCCTCTATTGAAATAGAACGAAAGAATGACTCCAGAACATTAGGCTTGAGACAAAAAGAAGAACACATACGAAGAACCCAAGCCCGTTCAAGACAAGGAACAAGAGCACACATTGTGTTGCCTACGGTCAGAGGTCGTAATGTCACTATAATTGCAGCAATAAACAACGCGGGAGTTGTACATCACACAATCGTTTCTAATTCCAGTGTCAATGCAAACAGATTTAAATTATTTATAGATTTTTTTTTTAGAAAATCAATCCAGAGTAAGAAAATAACGCTCAAATACAAAAGCGACATGACATAAAAAATTTGATCGAATCCAAAAGATGCAACCTTAAATTCTTACCGCCTTATTCTCCAATGCTAAATCCAATCGAAAATGCATTTTCAAAAATAAAATTATGTGCAAGAGCTGAGTTGTGTGAAGTTTCAATGGAACATAACATTGCTGATGTAATCGAGCGAAGTATTCAAAAGCTTACTCGGCAAGATTGTTCTAACTACGTCTAACGACGTTTTGAAAATCCCACAAGCTGAAAGTCGGGAACCCCTTCATTAAGATAAGCAGTTACCTTATCATCAACAATTTATTAAGTCAAATATGTGTTTCGCATTTAGGACCGGGTATTCAATTCTTGTTCTAAAATATTTATTTATTAAAATGTCAAGAAATGCCCCAGTTTGTATTAATATTTATTTAGTTTTATGTATTAAAGATATTAAATAAAATCACACCGAATTAAAGAATATTTATGTTAATTACATAGCCATACAACTATATTTGTTAATATTCTTTGATTTAATTTTCAAATATTGATTTAAAATTACTGCAAATATTATATTTCCTTGGATAAGAATAAAGGTTTCATTTAATTTGGAAAAAGTTTCATTCTATTTGTAAAAGGTTTCATTTCATTTGTAAAAAGTTTCATTCTATTTGTAAAAGGTTTCATTTTAATTGGAAAAGGTTTCATTTAATTTGGAAAAGGTTTCATTTAATTTGGAAAAGTTTCATTTAATTTGGAAAAGGTTTCATTTAATTTGGAAAAGGGTTCATTTAATTTGTAAAAGGTTTCATTTAATGTGGAAATGCTATATTTTAATTTCAAGTACCTGTGGTGGAGGGTATTCAAACGCTTTTTCACTTCTTTTGGGCTCAGTACATTATGCAAAATTTCGTCCGGGACAAACCTTGGCATTTATTGTGCAGTTTTTATAAAATCTAAACCGATTTCTACAGAACATAACTCACGTTTGTGTTTTGTATCAGCATAACTGAGAACTGTACTTTGTTTATAAAAATACATGGACGGACAGGTGGATAAACATAAATAGACTCAGAAAGCGATTCTATGTATATTCTCCAAAGGAAGCATGTTACAAAGATATGCATATAGAAGTCACTACTTATAAGAAAGAACCTTAAGAAGTGCGATTTTGGATTCGTTTGACTTGATTTTAAAATTCTGATTTCGTATTTTTAATCAGTGATCTAGAACTATGAGCACTGATAAGCAACCCTTTGAACATTGCTGAATAGTTTAATATTGTCGGGCTCGTAATTATGGACGTCCGACAAATACATATATAAAATATGCTGACATTCTTGCATATTTCTTAAACGTACCTTGATATTTTTCAAAACAAAAACCATTTCAAATTCGAATTTAACAACAAATAACAAACATTTTATTTTATTGTTCTATAAATTTAACAACAACAAAATACATCATCACAATCAACTATATCTCTTAATGACGGAAGATCGAAGCTGGCAAGTAGCTAGCACCAGGAGTAGAAGCAGCGGGAGCAGCATAAACGGGAGCTTGAGAAGCAAAGTTGATAACGGGGGCAACACCACCGTTGAAGTTGTGAGAAGAACCACCCAAACTGTCGTATTGGCCTTGGATAGCACGTTGAGCGTTGGCAGCATCTTCAGGGGTACGGTATTTGACGAAATGAACTTCGGGTTTGTTGTTGTTACCGGTATTGATGGTGTTAAGTTTGTTGGCCAAATCGGAAAGGTCGGCTTGTTTGTTGAGAACATAGATGGCGGTTTGTTGTTGGGCAGCTTGTTTGGCCAAAGCCAAAGCGGCATCTTCCAAGCCATTGTTTTCGGGGCCCTTGATGAAGACAACACGGAGACCCTTCTTCAAGGAGTTAGCCAATTGTTCGGAGCTAGCGGGTTCATTGAAATCGGCATCATTGGCAGAGAAGGTATAGAATTCCTTTTCGAGTTCAGCTTGTGGGGCGAAAGAGGGAGCAGCAACAGAGCCTTGACCTTCGTATGAACTAACACCACCAGTGTAGCCTGGAGCAACGGAGCCTTGACTTTCATAAGAACCAACACCACCAGTATAGCTGGGTGCTACATTGCTGGCAGAACCAACACCTGCACCAGGAGTGAAGGACAATCCGGAGGAAGAGTGACCAACGGGCTGATAGTTATAACCCAATTTATCGGCACAGGCAACAGCCACCAAACACAAAACAATAAAAGCACGCATTGTTGTTATTGTTATTTGTTGTAGATTAGCTTTCAATAGATGAACTGTTCGTCGTATTATGATCTGCTCTCTGCGTAGTAGGTGTTTTTATATGTTCGAAATTTTGCATTAGCAGGTTATGAATTTAGCAATACAAATTTAAAATAATCTTCTTATTGTGACGGGCAACAACAAAAACAACAAACACATATGATGACGATGCTGCAAATATCATTTAAATATGGGTTTTCCAATGTCATCGCAACGGGTCAATCATTTTTGGTGTTGTTGCTGCTGCTGCTGCTCTTTTTCATTGCATTGTTTCACAGAATGCAGTTGTTATCAGTCGGAATCAATTCTTATGATGATGATGAAGATATTTTTAGCCACAGATTTTCATGATCCATAGAATAACACATTAAAGTTATTTTTTAATTTTATGCTATTTATTCATGAAGCCATTATATTTTATGATCGTAGTAGGTGGCGTATCATTTAAATTCACACCTCTAACTTATGTTTATTGATGAGGTAGGTAACCATTATAATAACATGAATATTTCATGTTCTACACAATAGGGGAAACTTAATTATTTTTCTGGACATTAGGGGCCAATTAAACGGGGAATAATTTAAAATACTAGTTTAAAATTACATTAACACTTATAAGGTGATAAAATCGCATATAATTGTAAGTTATTCGTGTGATTAAGCGAAACATGTTTATTTTTCTCGAGGGCCTTATCTAGATGTTAAAGAATAATAACTCTGATATTATTGACCATTAATCTAAATGCTAAAGTGGGGCAAAAATCAATTGTTTCTGATGAGACATTGAAAATATGTAAGCAAGTATTTTTATAGGTTTTACATATCTGGAACAGCAAACACACAGACAAACAAATGGACATGTCTTAGTCAACAAAGAATTTTATTCGTATCTAGAATATTTTAAAGTCAGTTTTTGTCTTTCGAGACTAGATCGACGTTTTGTAATGAAAAACAAAGCCAGGGGAAGAACCTAAGCATCCAATACTGTGCGAAGCGTTTCACCGTGGGTTAAACAGCTCATCAGGCACAATGCGAAGTTCCACTTCGAATTAAATTAAAATTTATCACGGTCCGATATTTATCTTCACTCCAAAAACAGTTCTTTCCAAAGCAAATGTTGCTATAGCGATGGACAATTAATCCCACCTTCGACATCAAAAACATTGCAAAACTTCGATCATTAAGTTCGATTCGAAAGGGAAAACCTAATTTAAAAAAAAACAGTAAGGAAAGTAGTAAAGTCGGACGGGGCCGACTATATGATACCCTTCACCACTATGGGTATATTAAACAGGACTATTAACATAAAATTGGATGAAATAAAATATGTGATATTTATCTAAATGTGAATCTACCTAGATCTATCCATAAACATGTCATTCGTTTATTACAATGGGACAAAAGTATGTAAATCGACTTCAAAAAAATATCAAAAGGTCATCCGTTGGGTTATGTCTGTACTTCTAGAAAACGGGACTACATAATTCTATGCTCAATTATGTTCGTTGTGCAAAATTTGATGTCAATCTGACAAACCTGAGGAGTTTGATGCACTATTTACTTAAAATCCGACGAAAATATATATGGAAGCTATATCCAAATATGAACCGATTCCAACGAAACTTGTCACAGGTTAGGTTATACTAATTTCAGTACGTTTTGTTCTATCTGCAATATATTGGCTCCTTGGGGCATCAATTACTTAAATTACTTAAATCCATCTATAATATAAGGAGCTACATCTAAATCTCAACTGATTTTAACGAAACTTGGCACACATCATTCCGGACTAAATTCGGTAAGCTATGCAAAATTTCGTGCAAATCGAAAGATATATATGAACTTTGGTGCACCATTTACATGAAATCTGGCGGAACTATATGTGGGAGCGATATCGAAATCTGAACCAATATTCACGAAACTTGGCAGACATCACCCAAGGCTTAATTCAGTACGTTATGCCAAATTTCGTGCAAATCGAAAGATATATAGGGACTTTGGTGCACCATTTACATGAAATCGGACGAAAATATATATGGGAGCTATATTTAAATCTGAACCGATTTTCTCGAAACTTGGCAGATATCACTCTAGGCTCAATTCAGTACGTTATGCCAAATTTCGTGCAAAACGAAGGATCTATAGGGACTTTGGTGCCCCATTTACATGAAATCGGACGAAACTATATATGTGAGCTATATCTAAATCTGTACCGATTTTCTCGAAATTTGGCAGACATCACTTTAGGCTTAATTCAGTACGTTATGCCAAATTTCGTGCAAATCGAAGGATATATAGGGACTTTGATGCACCATTTACATGAAATCGGACGAAACTATATATGGGAGCTATATCTAAATCTGGACCGATTTTCATGAAATTTTGCAGACATAATTCTAGACCTAAATGATTAGGCTGTACCAAATTTCGTGCAAATCGAAAGATGTATAGGGACCATTTACATTGAATCGGTTAAATATATATATGGGAGCTATATCTAAATCTGGACCGATTTTTCCCAATTTCAATAGGGTTCGTCCGTGGGCCGAATAAGTGACCTATGCCAAATTTCATCAAATTCGGATCATAAATGCGACCTGTACTTTGTTTACAATTTAACATGCACAGACAGACAGACGGACAGACGGACGGACATGCATAAATCGACTTAAAAAGTGATTCTATGCATATTCTCAAAAGGAACCATGTGTCTATCTCGTTTCCTTTTGCCTGTTACAAACATATGCACAAAGACATAATACCCTGTACCACAGTGTGGTGAAGGGTATAAAAAATCAGTAATGAAAGTTCAAAAGTCGGACGGGACCGACTATATGATACCCTTCACCACTTTGGGTACCAATCTGAAATCTATGAAAAATTGAATGTCAGTCATTTGCTACGTTGCACCACAGTGCGCTATCCAAAATTTATCTCGACACAAAATCCAATACAAAACTTACATGCATCAATATAGACCTAATTTAGTACTATGTACAAAATTTTGCCTCAATCGGACAAACATCGATAGAATGGTGCACTATTTACATAAAATCGAAGGAAACTATATATGAAAGCTATATATAAATCGATTTCAACAAAACTTGGCATGCATCAATTTTGACCTAATTCAGTATTCTGAAAAATTTTGTCTCGATCGGACACATATTGGGAGTTTGATGCTCCATTTACCTAAAGTCGGACGAAACTATATCGACGCCTCCGAACCATAGTATGCTAAGTCGACTTAGCATGTTCTTTACGTTCTTAGATACTACGGTCCTTAATTTAAATTCTCTGAAATGTTGGTAATCATCGGTCAATCCAAACCAAGGTTATAAGCAAAAATGTACTTAGCATGGCACGTAAGATTCAAGAAACTTCCATACTTTGAAAGCTTCTACTAAAAAAACTCACTTTTCAGACTTAGCATACTATTCTTCGGAGGCGTCGAAATATGGGAGCTATATCTAAATCTGAACCGATTTCAAAAAAACATCGCATACTATTCTTCGGAGGCGTCGAAATATGGGAGCTATATCTAAATCTGAACCGATTTAAAAAAAAACATCGCATACATCAATCTAAGCATAATTCAATACTCTGTGCAAAATTTTGTCCCAATCGGACTAATATTGGGTGTTTGGTGCACCATTAAGATAAAATCGGACAAAACTATATATGAGAGCTATATCTTAATCTGAACCGATTCCAACAGAACTTCTCATACGTAAATATGGACCTGATTCAGTGCGCTGTGCAAAATGTTGTCCCAATCGTACAAATATTGGGAGTTTGGTGTATCATTTACATAAAATCGGACGAAACTATATATGGTAGCTATATCTAAATCTGAACCGATTTTCTCCAATTTCAATAGTGTTCGTCCTTGGGCCAAATAAAATAATTGTGCCAAATTTAATCCAAATCGGGTCATAACTGCGACCTGTACTTTGTTCACAAAAATACGGACATGCGTAAATCGACTCAGAAAGTGATTCTATGCATATTCTCAGGAGGAAACTTGGGCCTATCTCGATTCCTTTTGCATATATGCACAAAAACCTAATACCCTGTACCATAGTGCGGTGAAGAGTATAAAAAAATTAGTAAATACATAAATTAAATAAATAATTTCATATTTTTGGTTCACATTGGGTGGCAATTATTCCTACCAAAAATTATAAACATTGACCGATACCCATAAATTTCTATTAGCATATTGAAAGTCCTAGGCGTATTTTCCAATCGAAGTGACTATATTTTATCATTGCAAAGTGCCTGTTATTTGTCAATCCGGAAAATTTGTGGCAATTCTGCAAGTCCAAAGAGCAATTGTTATTAAGCTTTTAAAATTATACTGGCAATAATGAATTTCATGCTCGCTCTGAAGCATTTACTCTATCCTCCCAAATAAAGATGCATTGAAGCATAACCACCTGCACATATCCTTTTTATTTACATGTTCAGACTGTTTTAATGCCTTTCGCCTGGTTTTAATTGTTATTTCCAACATTTCACATTAATTGGCATTTCAAAGTGAAATAAATGAAATGGAATGTCTTTAAAGGTATTAACTTATGGCAAAAACTTTTGCAATAATATCCAGGTTAATCCCAAGGCGAGGATATTGATGAGATTACTTTTAGAATTAGCTAAATGCCAAAAAGTTTGTGTGTACACATGTGCGTGCGTGAGTGTATGTGTTCTGTTAATTTTTGCAAAGCAAAATTAAAGGAAACTTTTTTGTTTTGTTGGCAATCAACAACTGGCCAGGAACTGCGAAAACAACAGCAACAACGCCAACACATTTATTTATTCACCACGCATACCCCGAATACGTGAAAGTCATATCAATCTCATCATCAAACAGAAGTAGTCACTTTAATTTGAACGCAAACAGCAAAAGCAAACAACAACAATAACAGCAATAACAAATCGCAATAAGGCTGAAAGTTTCTGTTTGGAAA